ACTAACCAGAACCTATTCACGAAACTCCTCTGTGTGTGACCCTTCCTCCCTCCTTCGCCAGGGCAGTATTAACAGTGCTGATGGTTACAGCCTTTACCGCTTCCACATGGACATGGAGGAGTATGCATCAAAGCAGAAGGACACAGATGAGACAACAAAAACTGGTCTAGAGAGACAGAGGAGTATTTGTACTCTCAACACAAAGGATGGTGGTCAGACCTTAGAAGTTGCTTGTTTGGAGAGATCGCGGCCCAGTTCTTGTGTGGACATTCTCATATCTCCATGTGAACAAAAGCCTGCTTCTGCAGCATCAAGTCAAGAAACCATAAGCAACATAAAACAAGGCAGCACATTGCTGCTAGACAGACTCACAGACAAGAATAGACTAAAGCCTTCTTCCCCTCCAAAAAGGACTAAATCCTTGAGATACTATCCAGTCGAAGACCAACTGACATGTGCTCTGACAAAGAGGAGAGCTATGAGCACCATCATTGTCAGCCCTCCTGATGAACCAGAGGAAGCAGCTGAACCCACAAAGAAAGCCCAAATGCTATTAGGAACCTCCTCTTCTCCAAAGAGGACTGAATCTTTGAGATATGTCCCTACCGAAACCCAAAGTCAAACTTCTCCTATCACAAAGAAGAGGGCTATGAGCGGCATCGTCTACAACCCAGCAGAGGCAGGTGATGATGTGCTGCAAACTGCAGACTACAGGTCACTGGTGGAGCAAGTAACTAAAACACCAAATCAATGGCCAGCAAGCTTGGAGTATCAGGTGCACCCCAGCACTTTTGGTCACATACCTAAAGTATCCACAGTCAGAGCTCTTGCCCAGCAGTTTCAAAGTAGCACTGGACCTGCAGAGCTTAAAAATGAGGAGAATCAGCTTGATCAAATTCCTACAGAAAATAAGGCAACCCTTCCAGGAACAGAGCCCGTAGAAGATGGAGCAAAGATGAAGGCGAAGAGAAACCTCTCGGACACTACCGAGTATCTGACTGTAGCTGATGAAAGGTGTTTGCCGTCTCACAGGTCACAGAGCTGGAATGCCAGTGAGAGGAAGGCAAAGTGCTTGATGGTTAGCAAGGAGCCCAGAGCCTCTAGCAGTGAGAGAAACCTTGCTGAAGTCTGCAGGGTGGCAGCTGTTGGAGGGGAAGATGTGGGAAAGAAGATCGAGGCCGAGAAGGGAGAAGATGATGCACAGGAAAAGAAATGAGAGCCACAAAGACAGGAAGCTGATTGAAGCAGCAACAGAGGACACTAAAACAGAATGAGAAAAAAAAAAAATATATATATATACACACACATAATAAGAAGAGGAACTGAATGCTACCAGTGAGGCTGATAACTGAAATGTAGGATAGCCTGCCATCGGCTGGAGCCCACTACTGACTGTGGTTATGACACAGTTTTCACAATGATGAAAAAAACAGAATTTAGTGATTAACAAACTCTTCAGTATTTTCAATCATGTAGTTAATGTTAGTCGTCAGTGTAGAATAGTGAAAACCAACATATTTTCTTTTGGACAACCACTTTCTTTACTGTTTTTACTTTTCATTTGTGTATCATATAGTAGCTTACAAAGACAATCATTCACATTACAGCTTCCCCACGTCAATGTATTTTCATGGTGATGTTAAGGGGACCTGTTGGATGTCTACAGTTTAAGGTGAAAATAAAGGATATACACAACTGTTGTGCTTACATATACACTATGCGAACAGCAAAAACATGAATTTCCTATATATGGTTGACACTTTAAAATACCATCTGTAAACATTTTCTTTTGAAATACTGTTAAATGTGCTTAATAATGACCCACTCAGAGGTATCCCTACAGCTTTCATGCATATACTGACAACTGCATAACAATATGTATTAAGTACAGCTTCCAAGGAACAAACAACCCTTTCACAGTTTCATTTCATCACAGAAACCTGTATAAACATAGGTTCCATCAAAAAAACAATAAAAATGAGAGAATACAGTAGGCTGTATTTCTACATTGTCTTTTCTATCACAATACTGTAACCTTCTAGGCACACATGAACAAGCAGATATGTTGCTAGTGCAACTGGAGACCATAAGCCTATTAATATACATGAATTCACCCAGATAAATACAATCAGTGCTGGGACCTCATATGTCTATCTCACAGAATCATCATAGTAAATATGACAATAGGTAGTATGTATAAAATAATGCTACAGTATATGAAAAAGATGAGTTTTGTTTTCATAGTTTTACAATTATAAGACAACTATGTGTAACTGAGATATTTTCATGACATCCATTAGAGGTATTACAAATTCCAACAGAATCACTGCCTCCTGTGAGCAGACACTGCATGGCCAGCTACAAACTGCTGCTGACGATCACGCAAAAGTCTTTTGCATGAGCAGATATATAGTATCAGACCTCATTCCTCATTGATGCTCCTCTGGTCAGCAGATCAGGATGGCATCCCAACCACTCATGAACCTGTGAGCTTCAGCTGGAAGTAAGGCCCTGTGATTATGACCAGTGCTGCCGCTGCTGCGAGGGCGTCTGAGAGGCAGTAACCCTCCAAAACGACAAAGTCACGCTAGCTGTGAGCTGTGAACACTGGAGATGAGCAGCCTAGAGGAGTGAACACTTGAAGAATTTAATTCTCTTCGACTTCTTCTCTGTGATCTTGACTGGTTTGCCTGACCCTCCGGCACTGTTGTCAGTCTAGCACAGGAAGAAATCATAGTGGAGAAATGTAATACATGCAGTATTAAACAAGTGTGCCTTCACAAAAAGTGCAGCATGTCCTATAAAGAAAATCTTAACCACTTACTGTCTTGGAGCTCAGATTGTGTAATATGTCTCTTCCCATAGTATAAAAAGCCTTGAGTGACAGAAAAACAAAAACAAATGTTAAATGTACATATTTATTAGTCAAGGTACACAACACTGTCAGGGTCAAACATTTCTGCTTACCTCCTCTACATTCAAGCTAGACTTTGCGCTGGTTTCCAAGAACTTAACTCCATAATCAATAGCCAGCTAAGTGAGATAAAAAATCAATGTTAGTGTCACTTAGTGCAAATTGGAAAAGTGCACAACATTTCAATTTGCTTGAGACTGCTTTTTAGCAATGATCGGCTTCAGAGACTCACTTTTTCACCTCTGTCTTTGGACACCTGTCTTCTGTCAGTCATGTCACATTTGTTACCCAGGATCATCTTCTCCACATCAGACGAGGCATGCTGGGAGAAATTAAGACTCTTTATGCAAAGTATGTTACTCTCGGTACACAATGATGATATCAAACAGCAACTTTTAACAAATATATATATATATCAATTTCATCCAACAGTTTTTGTTAAACTATTAATACAAGTTGAATTCAGAGCTCACCTCTTCAATATTTCTAATCCAGTTTTTTATGTTTTCAAAGGACTTCTCATTGCAGATGTCATAGACCAACATAATACCCTGTGAAGAGAACAGTCATCCTCACAAACAATTTTCAAACCCTAATATGTAAGATACATGCACAGTGAGAAAGTGGAGGATAAAGGGAGGACTCACCATAGCCCCTCTGTAGTAAGCTGTAGTGATAGTACGAAACCTCTCCTGTCCTGCAGTGTCCCTGACAACATCAAATAATCGTCATTGGTAAATGAATGGTAAATCATGTTGAAGTCAGATTAAAAAAAAAAAAAAGTCTGCTCAGATCACACTTACCAAATTTGAAGTTTGACTCTCTTTCCATCCAGCTCTATTGTTCGGATTTTGAAGTCTATTCCTGAATTTGAATAAACAAACAGAGAACTGTATCAGCTGATGCTTTCTCCATTGATTAGTTACATGATATGATCAAATTTGTCACATGTCTACGATGCATAGTAAACCAGACACTTCTGTAATAAGTGGCGGTCATTTGTGAACTAAAATAGCTGTTTTTATTAACTGTTCATCCTGTGTCAATCTGTTGAAGGACATTATTTAATGTCACAGCTAAAGAAGCTGCAGTAGAATACTATACCGTTTTATTAAGGATATAACTATAACAATTCTTAAAGGCTTTACATTTCAATTAGGCCTAGGTTTCCAAAAGTCAAACATCATGACTATAGCTTTGATCTCATTCTAAATTTAGCCTTCAGTACCTATGAACCATCAAGGACATTAGATCATCACTAACTCTCAGTCCCATTGTCTTACTCTTATGCCCCTTCAAACACTGTGGGTCTGTATTGTACAATACAAAATGGTTATAGGATACTAGTATTACTGTATATTTTGACCACCATTAACAGCAATGAGAGTAAAAAATTGTATTCTGTTAATATGGACATGCATTTTGTCAGATTTATCCTTAGGGGCGGCTGCAGGGTACTCACCTATTGTGGATATGAAGGTGGTATTGAAGGAGTCCTCGCTGAATCTGAACAGCAGACATGTCTTACCGACTCCGCTGTCTCCGATTAGCAACAATTTGAAGAGATAATCGTACGTTTTCGCCATTTAAATACACTATAGACTTCCACGTTTCGATATTAAAAGGCCGAGCCGGGATCCCCCGTCTGGAAATCCTCAGCTGTCTGTGGCAGACTAGCAGCAGACCGGTGCCGAGATGAGTTACGTCGCGTTCTGCTTTGCATTATGGTCCATGTAGTTTAAAGGGATAAATGGGATGAACCACTACTACGTAGCTCTCAATTTTCTTCTTTTTTAACCACCACTGGCTTTTAAAATGAACAACTTACAAACATTGGCGTTGGATGGAAATGCTTCTTATCTTTAATTATGACTGAAACTTATAATATCAGTATGGCTAAATAAGCTACATATATAAACATAAATGTGGCGTTTTTCCTTTTACCTCTGATACTGGACACATGATTTGTTATAATTTTTATATCATTAAAAGTTTTGGCCTGAGACGTAACGTACATCTAGTTTAATGGAAGGCTGTTGTTATGTTTTTACGATATGCTGTTGCAGTATTCAGTGATATCGCAGTCCCCCACCACCACCCCCACTCCTCCCTCTACTGTTACTGCAGTTTCTGTTTCTTGTCCAAGCAGCTCACGTATACGCAGAAAAGCTAAGCTATCACGGTGAAAATGTCTGTAAGTTACAAAGTTTTGTGTTCATTTGTTGTGTTTCAGTTAACATGCAGTGTTGTCAGCTGTCATTGCCTTTTATTATTATCGACGTCCTACCGTCACACAGTGCACTTACGAAACCTCGAAGTTGTGTTGTTGATAGGTAGCAGGAGCAACACATGGGGGTGGAAGTCAGCTAACATCTGACGCGGGTGGCGACTACTTGCTGAAACGCAACAGTATCAAACTTGTGCTATATAAACTGTAACGGGCCAAGAAACAGTCCATACCTGTGTTTTATGTACTCAAGGCTCTTACGGTTTCTTTCACCAGGGGGATTTTGCGAACACAAATTCAATAAAATTACCATGACTTTTGGGGAAAAACTGCTGTGTGCGCTTAAGCTAGTGTTTTCATCAGCTGTGGTGTCGCTACATGTTAGCTATCACTTATTTGCGTTGTCTGAAGCTTAAACATCATAACAAAGGGCCAAATACACTGAGAGAGATGCAATTGCCTTTACAAACCTTTTATGAAGTGAGATAAGAAAAATATGTACTTCAATTGGCTTCATGTACTATAACCCCTTTAAATCATTGCAGTTTTATTTGAACTAACCTGGCTTAGGTCTACTTACAAATCAAAGGTGACATTTAATTTGTATTTTCTTTTAATTAAATTTAGTTGGCCAAAGACCTCCTCCACCCTACCATTGAACACGAGAGAAGACAACATAAAAAGAAAAGACTTGTTCAGAGTCCAAACTCCTACTTTATGGACGTGAAGTGCCCAGGTACGTTTTGTGAGAGTGGATTCAAGTCCTCCTAGGACAGTGATAAATGCATTTCACACAACAAAAACTCACTGAGGGTCTGGTGAAGTGTTTTTAGGCCATTTGTTTGCTTACACGTTGACCAGTTACTCCTGTCATGGTTTTCAGTGATTTGACCATTGTTTACATGACGTTACATGACATTCAGTGGTGAAAGGTATCTAAAAATGTATTTAAGTTCAATTTTAAGGTCCTTGTACTTGAAATATTTCAATTTTATGCTACTATATACCACTACATTTCACATTTCATAAACTTTTGAATACAGGACTTTGACTTGCAATGGAGTATTTTTATAATGTTGTATTGTTAATTTAACTACTTAGTCAAGGGTTTTGATTACTTATTCCATTACTGATGACATTCATCTGTTAAGTGCATTTATATGCTTAACCTAAAGTTTGTTTAGAGTTTAACACTGTTTCCATGCAGGCTGCTACAAGATCACCACTGTGTTCAGCCATGCACAGTCAGTGGTACTCTGTGTCGGATGCTCAACTGTGTTGTGCCAGCCTAAAGGAGGAAAGGCCAGACTGACAGAGGGTAAGACATCCACATGCTAGTATCTTGATAGTGCTATTTACTGTAAAAGTCATATACCAGCTAGGTATGACTACCTTTACGTGACATATTGTACACTGTAACTAGAAGGCAGTCTTAACTGATTTTCATTTTTGCTCTACAGGTTGCTCTTTCAGGAGGAAGCAACATTAAAAAAAGCACTACCCCCTGATCATGTCTGTAATTAAGCCATGCTGTTGATAAATACCTTATTTTTCCATTGATTACATTGTAGTTGCTCATTCAGTGAGAGGTTGTCACTGTACTAATGTTCAACTTTTATGATAAATTTCTAAACTTACAACTAAAATTTTTAACATGTAAAATACTAAAAATAAAATCTCACTAAATCAGTAAATAAAGTGGTTACAAAAGATGAAGCATTCTGGGACTTTTATTGAGAAATAACCAAAAATGTTCATGGTGACTGAAATTACCTTCACAGAAAGCATACAAGTAGTCCTTCCAGCTTCTGAATGGAAAGAAAACATTTGTGTCACTGGTTTCTTAGGAAACAAAAACATAAAACGATACGGATCTTAAATAGAGAACACGTGACAAAAACACCAAAGTACAGTTTTGATAACTTTGGGAGCACAAATAAAATGTGAAATGGGCATTCCACTTGCATATTTGTGTTTCAGGAAAGTAGCACATAAATGGCAATGACAACTGTCTTAAACTTAATGTTAATAATTTTTGGTGCATTACTTTGTGAAAAACATTACTTTAAAGAAAAAATAAAGACAAAGAAATCCAAAACAAAAACAACAAAAACACATGCTCTTCAACATTTGTTTCAGACTAAAATCACTGCGTCTGACATTGCACTCCATCTCTAGGACCCTCCTCATCCTCCTCATAAGCTTCCCCACTGTAGTTTCTCTGTTGTGTCCGCACATCCACCTCACAGAGGTCCACCTCCTCCATCTCATCAGTAATCATTACATCCTCCCTGGGAGGAAGCAGTCTTTCCAGCTGGTACATGAGATGCTCTGGGAGCCAGTCTTTCTCTGGGAATTCCACCTGTGGGATAAATTACAATTAGATGACCTGAGAGTTTTTCCTACAACACATGAATCTAACAAATAGATTTTAATCCAGTGTTGTCTAACACTGGTGAAATGTCGTGTGTTCAGTGTCTAACCTGGAAATGAATAATAAGCTGTCCTTTGTCATAAGGGTCCCTGTAAATTGGCATGCCCTCATTCTGAACACATCTGACATCAGTGTGCTTGATTACCTCACCTGTTGATAAATGATAAAGAAAAACATTGATGAAATCAAATATTCACTTCTAAAAAACAAAACAAAAAAAAACAAAAACAAATCAAGACAAGCCAGCACTGGAGACCAGCTGATCTTACTCAGTTACCTGGGTTTGAGTTGATGACAAGCGTTCTGTTGTCTAATGTTTCAACAGTCTGCTTGAAACCACACAGGGCCTCGACAAGTTTGATGTTCATCTTCATTATTAAATTATCTTCTTGTCTCTGGAAAACAGGGTGCTCCTTCTGATCCAGCACAATGATCACATCCCCAGGCTCCAGCCCAGGTTCCTGGTCACCTTCTCCGTGGAATGTAATTTTCTGACCATCTTTCATACCTGCCCAACACATTTATCTTTGGTTTAGTTTTCTTTGCAAAGCACACTTAGTACCAACTACAATTTTTAAAGATATGACTATTTTAGATGGAGGGAAAACTTACCTTTGTCAATGTGAACTTCAAGAATTTTCTTCTTGCGTTCTACTTTGTGTCCATTGCAGCTCTTGCAGCGGTCTTTTGAGTTAAATTTCTCGCCCTGTCCCTGGCAGTCTGAACACATGCTTTGGATCTGCTGAATCATGCCTGGCCCAATCTGTTGCACCTTGACTTGTACGCCTCTTCCTTTGCAATTTGAGCACTTCTCCAAGGTACCTTTCTTACCACCATAACCTGTGATGAAGAGAATAATGTCATTCAGCTTAACTTGAACAAACTTGATAGGGTATGGGATCTATAACAAATCACAATACACAATACGTACCGTCACATTTTTCACAAATGACATTCTTCTGGAGTCCAAGCTTCCTGGTGGTGCCATTGTACATCTCCTCCAGTGTAACACCTAGCTGGTGGACAACATTCTTCCCTATAGGAAAAGCACATATATGTAACATTAGAGTTATATATAAGTTATAAATATTGGAATATACATTATAAACCTACAAACAGCCTGCAGCTAGACTAGATATAAAACTAATAAAATAAAAAAGCTTACCTTTTCTCTCTCTCTGCATCCGTCCTCCACCTCCAAAGAACATGTTGAAAATGTCCATTGGTGAACTTCCTCCACCCATGCCCCCCTCTTTGATGGCTTGTTCTCCTCCTTCATCATACAAATCTCTCTTCTTTGGATCTGACAGCACATCATATGCTTGAGATATAAGCTTGAACTGTGGAAATGAAAACTATTAATTCACTCTGGAAAACAAGACTGCATTTAAAGCTTTCATTTATTAATCATTTTCTCACTCCAGTGTTCACTCATGTAAGTGGTAATGACTTATATTAAATGAATGTTTCCTGACCTTGGATCTTTATCAAGATTACTTTCCAACATATTTTATGATGACACTAAAAACCTTAAACATGTGCCGGCCTCTGTGTTACAAACGCATCAGCCCCCTCTTTAAGTGTTCAGATATAGTCTACAAGGACAGTGAAGGACCACTGAATTCATTTAATTTTAAACATTCATTTCCCAGCCTCCTGACATAGAAGGCCTGGAACATTTCAACACAGTGTCAGAGAGCTAATCTTCCTGTACCCTGACAGAGGAGCTGGATCTTTCCAGAAAGTTCCTGCTGTCAATTCAACAAGGCGTGCAGTTTAAAATTAGAAAGGGCATTTTCAGCAGTCCATAAACGGCTGCAGGGACACCTGAAAGTTCTCTCCATGTAACTCACCCTCTCTCCCTCACTGGGGTTCTTGTCAGGGTGATATTTCAGTGCGAGTTTCCTGTAGGCTTTTTTGATTTCCTCTGGTGAGGCTGTGGGGCTGACACCCAGGAGGTCGTAAAAGCCGGTTTCGTGAACCATGATTTATTTACCTAAAACACAAAAAACGCATTAAAACACAGAGAATAAGAATATCTCAACAAGCTGTGTCTTACTCTTTTTTCCATGAGGGTTAACGTTAGGAATCCGAAGCAACCGTTAGCGAAGGACCCATATGTAAAACAAAAAATCTTAAACTAACGTTTGTTAATGTTTCCCTATAACACAGTTCACATTAGCCAGAACAACGGTAAAATATATAATATATATAACGCAAGCTAGTGGCGAAAATACGGTAACGTATACCTCAAACTGTTAACGTTATTACAGGCAGCACGTGTGGTTGACCGACAATTCCTGTCAACCATACTGTAGACTTACTTACCTTACGTTAAGCTTGAATGAAACCGCTAGCATTTATGAGCCGTACAGCTAAATATTCTTACACATAATATTACAGTGTACCTACTTACCAGGGGTTGTTAGTATCCTAGCTTTCGCTCGGGTAATTCTGAGGGTGGTGAGGGAAGATGGCTGGCTCTTATAGCAGCTACACAGTGTAGAAGTTTCTGGAGAGCTCTGAGGAGAGGAGCCGGATGTTTCGTTGGCTGAGACTGCAGAGTCTTGAAAAAAGACCTGACAGGAAAAAAAAAGAAAAAAAAGAAAGACGAATGGAGGGGGAGGTGGGGTCAGAGGCTGTTAGACCAGTTTGTTATAAATGTCTTGCACTTTCTTTAAAGGTTTACATTACCTTGGCTTCGCATGGTGTTGTTAAAAACGGCAATGGGCCAAAGGTTTTTCAAGCATTTTATGTAAAACAGCTAATTTAAACTATAAATATGAAAGTGTTATCTTCAAAATATTCCTACACTCTTGAGTAGGGGATCTTATCGAAACTATGACTACAAGAATTACAAACATTATATAAAAGTATTTCTGTCAGGTATGAACTACCTAACAGAGGGGTTAAAAATATATCAGCTCATTTTATAAAGCTGTTGATAAACCATCCCATATGCTCTCTGTGGCCTGCTAAGAGTCTTTCCATTCTTGACTAATGAATTTTCATCCACTCTTTCTCCTGATCACTTCATGTTCTGAAATATTATTTAGACTTTCTTGCACACACATATTTAAGGATATATCCACATATTTCCAGTGATGTTCAAGTCAGGGGACTGAGGGCTTTTCCTAAAGATTCAGCTTGTGTTTCTTCTTTGGTTAAGGTAGTTCTGGTTGTTCTGGTGTAGAAGCCAACCTCCTTTCACGATTACTTCCTTAAATGACTGCAGGACATTTGCTTCCAGAATTTGCTGATATGTAGTAGAATCCATCCTTCCCTCTCTCCGTGCAATGTTCCCTGCGTCACTGGCTGCCACACAATTAGTTGTTATATGCTTTGTGCTGGCTCTGCTATGTTATGTTATGTATATGCTATGTCTATTAAAGTGTAGCCAACTTCTAGGATACACTTTAATAGACATAGTACTGGGAAGAAGAACTGGGAATAACTCAGTAAAAAAATGGCAGAGTTTATCCAAATGAAGTCATTGACCCCTGGTGAAAGTATGTCTGTGGGATTCTTAGGGACCAAGAAATATTCCACACCAATGACTGTTATGATGATTGTCCATTGTTGTTGCTGTAGATACTAAATTAACAGCTGCAAATGTTGCCTTAACTGGTCAATGATCACAGTTTTAAGTATGTGAATGAACTCCAAAGTGAGAAAATGATGTATTATGCAACCAACAGAGATTGATAATGTAGGAGCCTTATATAAACCCATTTGATCAATGTTTGGGATTCAAAACTCAAACATTGGCCTATTCCATCCAAAATAAAACTAAAAAATATAGATTTATGCAAACTTGATCAAAGGTGGAGGTGTAATGTTGTTATGATTTGGCTTTTTACCTAGCTTTGTGTGACTTAAGAGAAAATTATAATTAGACTGTTTTACATATGAAAAGACTGAGCTAATTTAAATTCAGGACATGGTCTTGAGCTAGTGATCCAATACTGTGCACACATGGACTCGCAACCATTAACGACTTCACAAGGCTTGTTAAACCTCAAAGTCTTGTTAGTTTACTAGTCCCTGAAAAGATGTGGTACTTTCAAAGGGTGGACTTATCCAACAAGTAAATATTTTCTGTTTCACACCAGTCAGATTTTTAAAAGTGCCTCTTTTGAGCAAATCCACAGGCTTGATTCTACATAGCCTATAGCCAAACTACCAAGAGGTCTACAGCGGTATGGAATTTCTTGATGAAGAGAAAGTAGAGGATCAACTTGAGAGCAGGTAAGCAAACTGAAATGAACGTTTTTGTTTATTTAATCCAGAGTATCAGGAGATGCTATAGCCTCATCAGACTACACTAATAATCTTAAGAAGTGGTTAACAATTAATATGTTTATATTCAGTTTCGCAGTGGGATAGGTCAAAATGCTTTTCAGTTAAGCCTCATGAACCAGATTCACCAGTTAGCATGCTAATTCATTGTCACTATTGCCCAAGTTGTTGAATGACTGTTCCTGTCCACTTTGTATCAAAATGACCCCACTGAAGAATGGAAGATAAAAGTCAATGGAGTATTTACATATATGCCAAACAATAGTTTTTAATGAGTGGGAATGAACAGCCCTTTGGCTTTCATTGACTGTGCTCTGTTGAACAAAGCAAGGCGGCTTTCGCTGTGCCAAAAGCCTGACACTGTTGAGTAGACAATGCTGCTGAAAATTAGGCCCATGTGATGAAATGAAAACAGCAACCCAAACCCATTGCCAGAATTTGAGGTGGAGTGTATCTGAGCGGTTTCCTCTGTGTGTTTCAGCGTTCAGGAGTCTATGGAAAACGTGCAGGCAGATAGTGAAGAGCATGCCACTGTGGGTGAGTTATGAGCACATGGGTCTCCATGTGGACATCCCCTGATGTGCTGGCATCATGGTGGAAGTCCTTCATCAGCAGACGCTGCTGGTATTGAATAATACTGGTAGTGCAACGGAAATGGATTGAAATCCTCTGTGAGAAGGACTACATTTGTTTTTCAGATTTGCTTTGTCTCTCATCTCAGGAAAGAAAAATATAGTGGAGGAGTTAGCTGGCGCATCTCTTGCTCCAACTCATTCTCTTTGGACCACTGATGCTAGAGGCTCAGTCAGACTGAGAATAGAAGATGGATGTCCAGAGGAACCTATCACAGTTCACCAAATGTTCAAAGCCTCAGTTGAAAAATACGGAAACATGTATGCACTTGCAAGCAAGAAAAATGACAGATGGGAAAAGATAACTTTCTTAGAGTATTATCAATTCTGTCGGAGAGCAGCCAAGAGCTTTATAAAGGTATTTTATTCAAAAAGAAAACTTGTGTATAGTATATTCTAACTGACAACTATTGGATACTATCAATGGTCATGTTTTTTTTTTTTAAAAGAAAAGACAAAAAAATGTGTTATGTGTGCAGCTTGGTTTAGAGCGATTCCATGGAGTGGCAATACTAGGATTCAATTCAACAGAATGGTTCTTCTCTGCAGTTGGTGCCATCCTGGCAGGGTAAGGAATACACATCTGATTTCAGACTTGCATTACAATAAGAACTGATCTGATTTAGCCTGGAACCGCACAGAGACTATACTGTATAGTTGTTAATGTGCTATAACCATTATATGATCTCCTATATTCTCCTGTTGCATTGACACATTCACTAACTACTTTCTGTCTCTTGTGTCTGTAATAACCTTTGTTATTCCTTACAGAGGGATAATGACAGGGATTTATGCTACAAACTCACCAGAAGCATGTCAGTATGTGGCTAGTGACTCCAAAGCCAACATTATCGTGGTTGAAAACCAAAAGCAACTGGATAAAATCCTGCAGGTACTGTTATTTAGATATACACAGGTCTTTTTCACATGCAAAACAATCAGTGCTAAATTTCTCACTCTTGATATCATAGGTATGTGACAGAATGCCACATTTGAAAGCCATAGTGCAGTACAGCGGGCAGCTCCAGCAGAAGCTCTCCAATCTTTACTCTGTAAGTCCGTCTGACAACACATGAAATGAAATGACTGTTTAGCTCAGGCTATGATCCAAGCTGCATTGTGCTGTTTTTGGATAGTGGGAGGATTTCATGGACCTGGGTCTGGATGTTTCTGAGAAGCAACTGGATGACATCATCAGCAGCCAGAGAGCCAACCAATGCTGCGTCCTGATCTACACTTCCGGCACCACAGGCAAGCCGAAAGGAGTCATGCTCAGTCACGACAATGTAAGCTTTTGTGTGACATTAGTTCATCTGTACTATTTGTAGTCATTGTTACATTGTAAGAGGCAGATGAAATAAAGAAAGTATTTCAAAGTAGGAGAAGGAGAAGAAACTCTTTTCTGTCTCAATCTTATTCAGATCACATGGACTGCCAATCATGCCAGCAGGGCCGGGGACATGCAGCCGGCCGACACTAAACAGGAGTCACTAGTGAGCTACCTGCCTCTCAGCCACATTGCGGCTCAGATCTATGATCTCTGGACAGGCATCCAGTGGGGTGAGCTGGTATACTTTGCACAGCCAGATGCCTTAAAGGTAAATAAACATGGCTTCATAACACAGTTGTTTTGACAGTTACAGGATATCTCAAATTCTACTACTTATTACTAAATTTGTTAAAACTGTTCTCCCAAAAGTCCCCCAAATAAAATTATATAAAGGTACTTCTGATGTTCTCTTAAATAATACTACACTATGAGCAAAACCAGCTGACTGAATGTATGTGTTTTTAAACTCTGTATATACTTAATTCTTTGTAGGGAAGCCTGATAACAACACTGCGAGAAGTTAATCCTACATCCCACATGGGTGTCCCTCGAGTGTGGGAAAAAATGATGGAGAAGATTAAACAGGGAATTAGTCAGTGTGGATATGTGAAGAAGAAACTGGTGACATGGGCAATGTCAGTCAGCCTGGAGGCCAATCAAAAGTGCATGCAAAACTAAGTGCTGATTAAGATGGAATTTTGTATATACATTTAAAAAAAAAAAATTCAAAGAGAGATGATTTCATTCTATTGTTATTTAACTTTTTAAAATCTTTTTCAGGGAAGATGAGAAACCATTCCTGCTGTCCCTGACTGACAGTCTCGTGCTGCAGAAGCTTCGGACTGAGCTGGGCCTGTCTTGCTGTCAGAAGTTCTTCTCTGGAGCAGCACCAATTAGTAGTGAAACTGTGCAGTTTTTCCTGGGGCTGAACATCCGCTTGTTTGAGGCCTACGGTATGAGTGAGAGCACAGGACCTCACTTCATGTCAGGTCCCAAAGTTTACAAATTACCAAGGTAAGTGTTCAAGGATCAGAACAAAGCTCAAGTTTCAATCTAATGAATATCACATAACATAAAGGATTCTTTCTCTTACATATAGTTGTGGTAAGGTGGTGCCTGGCTGTCGATACAAAGTGGCCAACATAGACTCTGATGGGACGGGTGAAATTTGCTTTTGGGGACGCAACATTTTCATGGGTTTCCTCAATATGGAAGACAAAACAAGAGAAGCTTTGGATGAAGATGGATGGCTGCATTCGGGAGACCTGGGGAAGATAGATGAAGAGGGTTTCTTGTACATCACAGGGAGAATTAAAGGTAGAACTGTCTGAGCAAATAAGGCAATTGTGAGAAAATTGTTTATCTTACGTTATCAGCTCTCATTCTGTACATTATCCACATTTGAGTGCGTGCTGTCCTGGATAGCAGATACAGCTCCATTATCCTTGTTATAAGTCAGAATCAGCTGTAATGTCAGGGTGCCCTCTCTCTCCATTCAGAGTTGATTATCACAGCTGGAGGAGAGAACATTCCCCCTGTTCCCATAGAGGAGGCAGTGAAGAAGGAGCTACCGATCATCAGCAACGCCATGCTGATAGGGGACAAGAGGAAGTTCTTGTCCATGCTTTTAACCCTGAAGGTAATCTGCAGTTAGTTTTCCATCTCCACAGCAGCAAATGGAGTTGTACTGTAGTCTCTTTATACAAACATTTTTATCAATTTTCTATTCTAAAACTCATTTAAATGCAGCTGCTGAATTCTAGTACTGTGTTTTGCATTAATTTTCTTCTTGTCGAGCTTCCTCAAGAGATTTGTAACAAGCCATGAAGCATAAAGGAGGGGAAGCTATTAAAACAAATGGTTTCACAAATTACTTTAAGTGATGATTCTAAACTGTAATCATGATTTATGAGAAAATGCATGAAATCCTTGGGATTTCATTCTTTGTTTTAGTGTTGTACCAATGCAGAAACAATGGAACCAACAGAGGAGCTGAGTCTGGAGGCTGTGGAGTTTTGCCAGCTGCAACGAAGCCAAGCAACCAAGGTGTCTGACATCAGTGGAGGAAAAGACAAAGAAGTGTACCGGGCCATTCAAGAGGGAATTGAGAGAGTCAACTCTGCTGCCACGTCTAATGCCCAACGCATACAAAAGTGGACTATTCTGATGAAGGACTTCTCTGTTTCTGGAGGAGAGCTGGGTAAATTTAGCAGAAAATCAATCCAGTAGTTCTTTTTTGTTTGAAAACCATGCAACTTTGAGACTGCAGTGAACTATTGCTCATCATGTTGTGTTCTTTTCCAGGCCCCACAATGAAACTTCGTCGCCCCGTTGTGTTGGAGATGTACCACAAGGTCATAGAGGGCCTCTATCAGGAATAGTGTCAGGTTGCTAGAGAGATTACTGTATAACTGTTAGTATGAAAATTACGTCACTTGCATATCTCATTCTTGTGGACATATATGAAATTGAATAATCTATCTTGTGTACAGAATGCAAAAATAACAGAGGAACCATATTTTATTTTTATTTAATAATATTTAAGAGTCAACCAAGATAATGTTTTAAATACTGAATAATACTCACATCTTCTCATAGGCTGAAATATTTGTCTATAATTCATTTTATTGCTAGTTAACACTAGTTACTTGCATGATAGGATCTTACAATGTATTTTGTAGTCTAATTACATAGATCATAGTCACCATGGATCAAGTGGACCTTATAACACCAAGAGTAGTCATTTTCATTAACATTAAATAAAAAGTCTGGCATTTATGATGTAATATTCATTGTGTTAACTATACATTCATTATATTAGAAGCACAGAACACTATGATATGAAGAGAAGACTTGCAGAAAGGAGTGCAAAACATTTTCAAGTTTCATGTTATGGAGCCTAATAATGTTCAAATTATAAAAGCTCCAATTTGAATGTGTCTTGACAAAATAACAGTGTCAAAGACATTTGACAAGAGGCCAAATTCAGCCAATAAATAGACAATATACACCACACATTTAGCAGTTAAAGAATAATTGCATATCACATATACAGAAACTGTTGGTCAAAAGTTTTAAGACAGTGCTTTGGGGTGTGCAAAAAAATAAAACAATCAGGATCTCAAACTCCTGAGTCATTTTTAAAATACATATTTTGGTTAAAAATGTGCTGATACAACATGAAATGATGAAGTAAAGAGGCCCAAACTCTTAACACTTAACTCACGGCCACATTAGCATCTTTTTAGTCCATATCCCGCACTCGCTGACATATTGCATCTGTGAATTCGGAGCACTTTGAGTTTCCTCCCAGGTCTTTTGTCAGAACCTTGAAGAGGGACAAAAAAAGCATTATAAATAAGAATGGGAACATATACCCAAAACTGCATGTCTTAATTTCTTGAAAAGAACATTACCGTTTTGTCTCGAATGGTGTCAAAGCAAGCCATTTCGATCTTCTTGGCATGGCCATGTAGACCCATGTGCCGCAGCATCATGACCGCACTAAGCAGCAAGGCGGTGGGGTTGGCCATGTCTTTTCCTGCTATATCTGGTGCAGTTCCATGAACCTGACAGAAGAAATTAATCACAATCTGTGATAATGATCGACTTTTATAACTTTTCTATAAACATTAGATTTCTAAAAAGATTTAAAAAAAAAAAAAAAACATGTAGGCTAATAGTGTCTTCAGTAACTCATCCCACACCATGAATTCATACTGTGCAACTTGTACTATGATCATGAGATTAACTGAATAGTATGAGGAAAAAGTAGTCTGACAAATGGGAATATAAACAACATACCGACTCAAATATGGCAACACCATTGGTGCCAATGTTCCCACTAGGAGTCACTCCAAGACCTCCAATTAGTCCAGCACAAAGATCACTGTCAGAGTAAACACATACAGTTACCTTTAGATTTATTCTAGTGCAGACATTGTGACCATATTAATTGGATTTCATGTACACATGTACAAAGTTTTCAACTGATGCAGTCTATGTAAATACTATTTGCAAAGGTGCATCCTCATCACAAAATTTCCACATCTACAGTATTTACTAAGTCCTTAGTCACCTTTTTTCTCTCATCGATATTAAATTGTTGTAGTTGAGGTTAGCCTAGGTACTCTGACAAGGTAAAGTGTTTGTCATTGTTATACATTATTATTTCCTGTAAATATGCTGCCTGGTTGAATCCACCCAGTCAGCACTACTCTCCTGGTTTTAACACATTTCAACATGTAGATTAAAACAAAATGACACAATGCACAATTGTGTGTAAATGCATATGTAAATATGGAGGATTTGCTGAATGATCAATTGCATTTTCTGGCTTTTTGTTGTAATTTAATGATCTTACCTCAAGATGTCTCCATACAAATTTGGCATCACTAATACATCAAACTGTGTAGGATCCTGTACCATCTGTAAAAACAGGTAGAGATAATACCTTTATTGCATAGGAATATGCAAAATTTCTCACTAAACATTGCTTCTTATCCACGTAAATCATTTTTGCACACTAATCTAATTCATAATGAGACTTACATTGAGACACACAGTATCCAAGTACATTTCAGTGAATTTCACATCTTTGTGCTTTTCAGCAGCCTCTCTGCATTTTCGGAGGAAAAGTCCATCAGACATGCGCCTATAAAAAATGTTACAGAAGACTTTAATTTCAATGAACAACTTAGTATTAGTATTAAATAACAGAGTATTAAAAGTACTAAATTTGTACTGAATTTAACTTACATAATATTGGCCTTATGGACAGCAGTAACACTGGCCCTCTGATTGTTCCTGGCATATTCAAAAGCATACTCTGCAATGCGTTGGCTGGCTTGCTCAGTAATGAGCTTAATACTCTGTACAACTCCATCAACAATCTGAAATGAATAGTATGGATGTACTGTAGTAGTGAATGTGAGTATTAGTTGAATAATTTCAAAAATAAAATACAAAATATTCTATTCCTGAACATCTTAGGGTTTACGTTGGAGAAGAAAAAGTAAATAAATAAATAAATGAATAGAATAAGTTAAAATATAAAAGAATATGAGATACAGTGTATTGATCTAAAAGAAATTGTAAATAATACAATGTACAAAGTAATGTGATGTTAAAGGTTTTTACCACATGTTCAATCCCACTGTATTCTCCCTCAGTGTTCTCCCTGATGGTGACCAGGTTCACATCAGTATAGGGGGTTTTGTAGCCCTCGATGGACACACAGGGGCGCACATTGGCATAGAGGTCAAAGGTTTTCCTAAGCAGTAGGTTCATAGAGGGATGGCCGGCAGCTATCGGTGTCTTCAAAGGACCTGTAGATTATTACATAATTCAAATTATTTCCTGGTTCACCTGCAAACACAAACACCTATAATTCACATCTCCAAAACAATTTAATTGCCCAAATGCTGTTGGAATGATTACTGGTATAGAGAGATTAGTTACGAGTCACTTGAAAAAAAATTATATTCAACATAATACAACACCATGAGAAAATCATCCAATTCTTTAGTGAATATAACTGAAGTTACCTTTCAGACCAATTTTGTTCCTGTCCATTGATTCTTTGGCATCAGGAGGAATCATCCACTTGCCACCAGGTCCTTGGATGGCAGTAACATTTCTCTCTTCCCACTGAATAGGTGCCTACATAAAAAAGTGTAGGTACAACAGAAGCATTAGATTAGTTTATATAAAGGCCTTTTTGAAATTTAACAACAGTGCTTTCCTGCTCCAACAGTACTAACTTGAGCTGCTTCAAAAATTTTCATGACAGCACCGGAGATCTCTGGACCAATTCCATCACCAGGGATTAAAGTAACAGTTTGCATCTGTGAGGAAGAACAGAGACGAATAACATTCAGTGACAATGAAATATGAGCAATAAGTTACATCAAAAATCTTCTTTAATAAAAGTATTACTGAATCTCTAGAGTAAAGGTAAATACCCCACGGATGAACGTCCTGGGTTGTGGATTCTCTTTCATCAAAGCTCCAACCACCCGTGACATCTGACAATTAAAAAGGCTCATGTTTTTACAGGTACATATCAAATACAGTGAACTGAGCACAGCTTGCTTAAGTAATGAACATACTAGGAACAGAATGACCCAAGAATTGTGCACACTCGTGTTTTACAGTACAGCTTATATGGCTCTGGATAACTGTTTGCCAGTAATGTATTTTTGACCAAAAAGCTTTATAATTATCGTAATGCCAATACTTGGTCACTCTAGTAAATCATCTGGACATGAAAAGCAGTACAATCACATGAAACACACAGATAGATAGATGGATGGATAGCTGGATAGATAGATAGATTTGCAATCTGCAAAGGACATTCTGGAAGAGGAGACTCCAGTACAAAGCATGCGTTAATTAAAAGTGTTAAATAGCATGTTCTCTTGTCTTCTTTGGTAATGGTTAAGGACCCACATACCACTCCAAAAGACCTGCAGTAAAGGCGAGGGTTAAATAAGAGTTAATAATATAAACTTGAGCAAGAGGAAATGCGAAGCAAGTTTCGTTTTGAAGCAAAATGACAGCTTACAGTCGACGGCGTATCTTAGCCATGCTGAACTGTTGAAGTTGCAGACTTGCAATACCAAAGGCGTTCCGATTAAAAAACAAAATATAAATATGGCCGAACAAAATGCCCATTTCAGATTTGAGTGACATAACTACTGCGGGAGATTGCTAGCTAGCTCTTTCCCAAACGCAGCGAGGACAGTCAACGTTTTAATACGTATGCTTAACTTACTTCCTGTGCCTTGATTTTATCCTTGTCATTGACCGATAAACCCCACTTTCTTAGTAGATTAAGAATCTGTAGATGACAAACATTTGTTGCCATAATGTAGTTTTTACAGAACATGTTCAACTTGAGCTATCAGCTATAAACTGTTACAATGCATTATAAAAGAAAAACATGTCTTCACATAGCTAGCTAGCTAAATGGCAGTCAAGAGTCAGGTTGCTATAGTAACTACAAGCAAGTCGCCTGAGCTGGAGCCTAGCTAGTTAGCTGAGTAGCTAATGTCTGTCTGTGGTATCCCAGTAGTCTTTGAATGTATGAACTACAGTCAAAGAACCTAAGATTAGTTGATGAGGTGAAACAGAATGTCATGCGTTTGGTGCAACATATATGAAAGATTAGCATTTTTTCTCCCGTACATACCGCTGACCTCCACGCCTTCCCTGCCATCCTGTTAGCCAAGGTCGATGCAGCAGCAGCAGCAGCAAGAGCAGCAGCAGGAGGAGGAGAAGGGCTTCTGCCTCTTCTTTGAGGTTTTATGGTCTCCAACCTTAACGTCGCATTACTGCCACCTTCTGGCAGTAATGAAATACTGTAATGAAATACTCTCAAATGATTTCTTGCGTTTCTACAGTGTTTGTCCTGCATGAGATGACATGTTGTACTCTTTCTGCTTTCTGACACATCTCTCTATGATCTGAGATGTTTTCCTATTATGAAGTGTGTTATTAAAATCACTATATCCGGTTCTCTTTCCCATCTTTTCCCCCGTTCCTCACCACCCCCACCCTTTTCTGTATTGAATGCAAATGTATTCCTTTGGCTTCATGATCCCAGTTCTGCTGCCACTCTTGATTAGTTTTCCTCCAAACTAAACTTTTCCCCTCTGAATTTGAAAGTATTAACTTTTCAACATGTGCAGGAATTTCAGTCTGTGAGCATTATTCTGTGAGGAAGATCGTGATGGTTTTTGGTAGTGCCGAACTCAATACTTCTAAGTGCAGAAGCTGGATGCCTGCATATGGGTATCTTACTTGATCATCTCTGTCCAGCCCACTGTATAGTACCCACTAACTCTAAAGCATACACTTCAAGTAGTTTGGGGCTCTGACATGGATCTATCTAATGACTGTGCACTGCCACTGCTACACCTGTTGCATCTGTCTAAGGATTCTTTGACCCATCTGTTAATGTGCACACATTCAAAATACTGAAGTTCTGTGTGGATATACTATTCAAATACTGAAGAGCCTCAGATAGTTTTGCAGGAGTCCACCACCAGCAAGTGGCGCCAGTAGACTGCTTCTGAGGGCCTACAAATTTCACCATGAGTGACTCATTTCTTCCCTTAAGCCACATCATTAATACACGTTTTCTCTGGCTCTGGATGTGTAAACAGTGTATAGTATGTATGCATCAATATTAATAAACTGTAATTATGAGTAAAAATCAAAGATTTGCAGTACAACTTTACACCTTTATAAGCACTGTATTTTCAACAAGTTGGTCGTACACATAATAAATTTTATGGTATAAAACAAGTAGAAACAGCTGAAACAATCATTCAATCACATTTTGCAAAAGTTCAACATACCAAGAAAGCATACAGCATGGGACACATTAACTCCCACAATTATCCAGCAATGCAAAATGGAAAAGAGCTTTTAATTACTGAAAACCTATAGAAATTCTGAAGCAGCATAGCTCTCAGCATAAATGCAGGCTACTACATGGTACAAAATGCACACTGTGCAAGTAAAGACATCTTTGAACCAAACTGAGGGGTGTCAGTATGGATAAAGGCTTTCAAACCACTTACATGTATCGTCAGATACCCAATGCATAGGATGCGATAAAATTTCAACAAATGCCTCACACTGCAACACAGAGCATGTGTGTCTGGCAATGATACTTATCAAGCATTTGGATATAGCTTAGTAATTTGAAAAGAACTACAGTACATTAGCCATAGTATATCACACAACAAAAAGTTGTTAAATGTTGCACACAAATGTGTCCAAATCAGCTCAACTCAGATGGCATACTGCTTTGGCTGCTTCTTCAGACTCATCGATCTTTCAGTTTGTGAAATTACATGAGTGGCTCTGTTGTTGAGGAGTCTGCATTCATGAAGAACATCTGTAGAAAGTCAAATATAGGACAAGGACAATAGGACAATTACATAGAATACTATAAACAAGGCACAACAGTCACAACTGGTTACATGCAACACAATTCTTTTAAAACACAGCTCTACAGAGAATGTCTTACCATTAAACTGTTTGTAGGCTTCCTCGATAATGGCATTGTTTGATCTCTTTATCTCCCAGTAACTATCTTCCACCCATGGCTTGCAATCAGGATGTTCAATAAGCTGTCCATTCTTGTATAAACCAGCTAAACATTCAAAGACAGAAAAACATGCTATATTGCTATATTGATTTAATGTTTACTAACATTTTGTAAATCATTCTGTAAATGCCAGTGGAAAACATTATGAATGATAAATACCACAACCAACATCTTAATCTGATGTACCTTTGATGGTATCATCAATGTCTTTGCATAACTGGTACAGGTCGCTCCCACGTCCAACAACTCTTTCACCTACAATTTCAACAGAAACAAAGAGCTTGGGAAACATTCACATCAGTGTGATTGTTAATGTGCAAAAGAATAAATAAAAAAATATCTCACCATCCAGCACCTTAATGGTTGGGAACATCTCCAGAACTATGGTTCTATATGAAGTGTTCCTGCACACTGACAGAGAGAAAACCATTGTGAATTTACTCATCAAGATTTTCCATCAACTGGATTGTTTTAAAATTAAGTCAGTGAAAATTACCTGGATTACTGTAATTGTAAGTGTTGTCTTTAAAACGTATATTTTCTAGCTTTCTCAAAGGCTGAAGGCAGTGAAGGCTCTCAATACTTGAGAGAAACAAAACAGACAAGAGAGAATTTTACACAACCAATTCAGAATATTGCTCTTACAAATGTAATTACTAGTAAAAAAAATTGTTTTATGTTTAACATCAGTAACATATTTGTTTGTATAGTATGTTATCAACATTGTAATTAGTGACATATTTGGTCAATGGTTATATAGTGATACCTGGATATGATATTACCAGCCACGTTCAAGTTCTGTAAACAGTCACAACTGCGCAGTGGTTCTGAAAATACAAAAGCAATAACATTAAATTAAAAAATTAAAAAATTAAAAAAATCTATTCATGATACTCTTTCTTGATAAGTGGATATACAGCATGAAAATTAAGACTATACTGCTCCTGCAATCTTACCTAAATTGGAAATCCTGTTGGCAGACAAATTGAGTACAGAAAGAAGCCGGAGAGATGCAAGAGGAGCCAAATTTGTGACGTTATTTCCAGAGAGATCCAGTCTCTCCAAATTTATACACTCCCCAATGCATCCAAGGTCATGTATTCCTAAAACACATACAATATAAAATTTATAAGAAACTATAATGCATTTTTGAAGACTTAAATACTGAAATAGTAATTTCATCTTACCAAGACCTCTCAATTTGAGAAACAGTATCGACTCCAAATCGAATTCTCCTGTACGTGACTTGAGCAGCACAGCAGTTATCTTCTCAAATTCTGCATCTGAAAGAATCAGAGCAACACGACTGCAGCATAACAAAGCACGTTCACTATTCCCGTCTTATTTGTGAGTCAGCACTGCAAAAGGAGAATGCCAGAAGCACTGTCTCTCTTCTGTTTGCCCATGCAATCATCTCTAAATAGTAAACACCAATTCAAGCAGCCCATGAATTTCATATCAGGCAGCACACTGAGCTTCTCCTCTGCCAGCTCCTGGGGGAAAGGGTCACAAAACAGGCTGATGTGCGGCTCTGTGCAATGTTTGTGATGGTACTGGCGTGCCAGTTGCATGCACGAATAACAACTGAGGGAGTTATATTTGGTTTAATTTCCTAAGGCAGAATCACTCCCAAACTCTGACTACACACGAATACTCCTTCATGAGCCTGCTCAAATGAAACCCTGATTCCCTGAAGAGAACTGCATCCCTGAAAGAAAGGACTCATCAGGTTGTCCGGCGTTTAGTTCTTCCCATTTCATGCTGTAACATTTTCTGATTTACATCCACACTGGTTTTATTTGGTTCACTTTATATGTAAATTATGTAAGAACTGGCCGACTGGTATCCATAACAGCACTGCAAAATGGGGGAAGCGGTCGTGGGTGGGAAAAGTATGGCCACCAAACGCATATCTGAACACATATGTTAACACCTGCAGAAATATAGGTGATGATGTTTGGTTTAGCTTGGCAGTCTGCCACCATGTTAGTAAATGTTGTTAGCTATTGTGGTTGATAACGACCTGTATCTTAGCTATGACCGTCGTGAGGCGATGAATGCGTGATTTCACGAGAATGATTCGGCCGGATGAAGAGTGGGTGGGTTATTTAATGAAATGGTAATTGTTCTTTTTTTCTCTCTCTCTCTCTGATGATGACACACGTAAAAATGTTATGTAACAAACGATACGTTGTTAGCTACACCTTAGCATAAGCCACAGCTAGCTAGCATAAGCCGCTAGTGGCTAGCATAGCGACGTAGCAACAAGCCATCACAACTTACCTTGGTCTTTATCTCGCTTAGAGTCCATCGTGGGCAACTTTGCTACTTGGAAAGCTACCTATCGCAATAAAAAGCGATGATTTTTTAACCAATACAGTGGAAAGGCAAGGCAGTGGTAATTGATGGGGAACGTGAAATTGGCATCTGTCCTGGGGTACAGTTGGGACACGCTCACTGTACTGCTGTGCTGCAGTAGCACGCAGGTGGATGTGGATGAGACGGACCTCAGTCTCCGCAGTCCAGCTCAGGATAAGCAAAGAGGGAGGCGGTGCACCGACTGTGTTGGAGGGCGCTGGGTGATGTGTCTGCAAAAAAAGTTCCAGTATTTGTTAGATCTTGCTTCCTGAGCAACAGGTTCTACGTTTCATGTTTCAATTAAAAGTCTTATTATTGTAAACTATCCCTCTGTGGTAGTCTTCGGTAGTCAACACTAGATAACAGTGAAATTAAGTAGTGATGATACATATTGATTAAAACAAAAGGGTCAGACATCTTTTTATGAACCTGTCTATTACCAGCGGTGGAAAGTAACTTCACTACATTTCATATGGAAATATTCCACTATATTTTATGATAGCTTAAGTTACCATACTTTACAGATAAAAAGATGAAAAACAAAACATATGATCAGTTTATGAAATATGATGCATTATAGGTGAAATGATCCAACATTCAAATTCAGTTTATATGGTAATGCAACAATAATAATAGGCTAATAATAACAACAACAATAATGATAATAATAATAATAGACTAATAATAATAATGATAATAACAATAACAACAATAATAATAATAATAATAATAATAATAATATCAAATGTTCTTATTACATTTCAACCACTGCCCATTACACCTTTTCTTCACCAAAAGTATATATGGACAGCGTCTCCCTTACCAGCAGGTTCTTGTTCTTATTTATTTATTTACCTCAGGTCCTATTGGTTTGTCTTGACTCCGGGACAGCAGCTGAGGGCTGAGGCAGAAGCAGATCAGTTTGCACTCCTTGGACTCCGCAGTCAGCCTCCATTGGCTCTGACACAACTGGACACGAGTCTTTTACTTTTTCTTTTTCTCTCTCTTTTTAAAAAAAAAAAAATCATCCTCTATTTGCAGTCATGGCGGACACCTCCTGGAAGGAAACCAATCACCTTTTTTAAGAGTTTGAAACGTCCTCCACTCATCTTGCTCCTGTGCGGAGACTTTGACTCCGCGGACCCCCTAAATGCCTTTCATTGAGAAAAGGCTTCGGACGTTCAGTGTTGTGAATGTGTACAAGCAGCAGATTACTTGAATAAGATGGGTAATAAGCAAACAATATTTACCGACGAGCAACTTGATGCCTACCAGGTAAGCTTGCATGCCCCTGACTAAACCTGCATCATATACTGTATGTCCAACACCAGGTTCAGAAAAATCATGGGAAAGCTTAAAATTTCTTGGCATCTAAATGATGATGATCTACCTGAATGTAGTTCAGTTAATAAAAAAATATAGGCCTATGTAAAGATTTAAGAATATAAAGCATTAAACTTAAGTGCATGCATTTTTCCATTATAACTATTCCATAACTATGATAATAATAAGTATTGTAAATCACCCTATGACTTTTTTCTGATACTGACCTAGTCACTCCTGTTAGTGGAACCCCCCCCCCCCCATGTGTCTTGGATTTAATTGAAAAAGCAAAACATACTGAACATTTTGTGTGAGTGTCAGTATTGATCATTAATACAGATTGGCCCCATTAATTAATGATAGGCAATAATCAGTTACCAGCTAGAGTGCCATCAGTTATGACTCCACTGTTTAAATGTTGACAGTCTTGATAAGTGAGAATAGCAGATGGTTTTGATCTCACTGCACACTGGAGGTGCTCACTGAGCTATAATCTGAGAAGAGCTGACCTTCTGTTCCCTGTTACAATAATCCAGGTTTTCCTGTGAAGAAACGCATATTCATGTGCACAGGTTTAAGGTTATTAGGTGTGGATTTAATTATTGATGCCAAGCCAGTGTGATATGCTGTGAAATTCTACTCTCAGGAGACAGTTTAGTTCTCAAGAGCCTCTCTGGTTACTCCTGCTACTCTTTAAAACTTGTTCTTAGAAAACTGTTGATTTCGCTTTCTGCCTTAGTTATTATTGAGTATCAATACATCTTACTGTTTTAGGATCAAATATTTACGATATAACACCTGAGTGTTGTTGTACCCCAAGATTCAGTGCTCAAGTAGTTTAACTGTACAAAAAGCATATTACTTTCTGTGTTATGTTGTATGATGGAGACTAGTAGTGTAGTCAGATATTGCTTTAAATACACACACAATTCTAATTAACCCAGATATCTTCAGTAGTTGGAGCTCAGCTGGCTGCGCTCTGCTCCTCACACTCAGGAGCACAGCTCAGGCAGAGCGGATACAAGGTAAAATGTAAACTGAGTCGCTCCCAGTAGGGCTTTTGGATAATTCGTGTGCCAACACATGCATGTCAGACAACAGCAGATCATGTTCCCCTGCCTCATCGCTCCTAATGCAAGTGGCAGGTGACAATACTCACACATCATCTTCATTTAAGAGAAACCAGACGCCTCGACTTGCTCTTTACAGTAAGGGTTGTTCACATGACTTCAGAGGAACCGTAATGTTATTTTATGTGACTCACAGATGTGTCACTGAGAGTGAGTTCAGGTCTTTTATAGAAGATGTAAATAATCACTGTACCTTCAGAAATGTGTCATACAGTACAGTCCTTTTCCAAACTTGTATCATACTTGTGTTTTGACAAGCTGTTTTTCTCTCATTGCAGGACTGTACATTTTTCACCCGCAAAGAAATTCTGCGGTAAGTCCTATGATGTGTACCTCTTGATTCTGATGCTCACAGATGTACTGTAGATCAGCTACACACTTCACCACAGTAGTGGTGTGGTGGTACAGTAAGTGTAATCATAAAATCATACACAGAATGATAGTAGACATAATAACCATCATCAAAATATACCAAGGCTGCCTTTTATCTCCCTGTTTTCCTCCTTGTCCTGTGCCATGTAGTTAAAATGTACTTTAAGTGACCACTGATTTGGCATGTAATACTGTGTGTTCATTCACAACCCATACTTGCATTACAAGGGCCTATATAAAAAAAACATTAACACTTCAGACTGCATTTGGCTCCTGTCTGCATGTGTGAACCATGTCCAGTCCTCAGACTCCTTCCCACTTGGGGAAACCTAATGCTGAAGCTGATTTTGTTGGCAGCTGCCGGTATTTGGGCACTGTTCGGAAAAGGAAAGGTACAAAAAATGTTTGCCTCTGATTAAACTGATTCACAACACTGAATTTAAAATGGGTCAAATGGTATATGTGCTGCTGCTATAAAGGAAATACTGCATTTTGGCTTACATGCACAATATAATTGTTATGAATCATACATGTATTTTAATCTATGCACATACAATTTTTAGTAATATATTTATAGGTTATAACATGCAAACATTCAATAAAGAATCGGTCAATATTGTAAATATTTCCGGCAAAACTGATACAAATCGATGCGTATGAAGCAATAAGTGCAAAGCAAAATGAATGAACGTGGTCATTTTTTAATAGAATTAGGACACTGCCATTTATCATTTCGTGGCTGCTAAATGTCTTTGTACAAACTGACATCCTAAATATTTCTCTTATCCTGTACATTAATGATCTTCTTCAACTGAACATCTCAGCAGATACAAAAAGGCAGCATAACATAACAGCCAATGCAGACGCAATTACTGTAATTACAATGTATAATATAATGACATTTATGAGTGGCACTCATGGGCATTTATTGTTCATAAGGACTGTTATTATCCACAACAAGGAAAAATCTGTCAGTTATATGTCAGTGACGATCTGCAAAGTTCTGTTGAGCAGCAGTGTCACTATGTTACCTAAACCTTTGAAAGTCATGTTGACCTTTTGACTGTGGTGTTGTTTTCAGTACCACCCAATATAGTGTCACGTTTCTACCTCTTTCGACATGTGCAGCCTCGACACTTTAAAAAATGAAATAAACATAAATGTAATATATACTCTTAGTGATTGCGCTAGGTATCATGGCTCACCGGGTGGCATCATTTCTCTCTTCCTGTCTGTCACCCCCTTCATTGACAGGCATAAATTAAACAAATCGCTCGCTCTTCTTTTTAATGGAATTGACCAGTGATGTTCATGTTTCGGTGTCTTTTGTCAGTGGTTCTAGATGTTGGAGGATAAATAGCAACTTAAAGAAATTAACTACAGATACTGAAGAATGTTGCAGTGTAACATTAGATAAGGGTTATGTGATTCCAGGCAGGAATTTGGAATTTGTTTGTTGATTTGCTCTCATGTTTGTGCAGTAAAGATTGTTTTTGAGACAATTTTCTAACAATGAGGAATTTGTGTCTGTTGGTGCATCTGTTGCTATCTTCTAAAATTACCCGAGCTATCAAGAATTAATGAAGGATTAAAATTCAACAGATTACACAACATGCCTGTTTGAACCTACAATTTTTTTTTATTTTTTTTATCTAAGACAGGTTTGTTTTTTTTTCTCTCCCTTTCCACTCATCAACAGATTTTCCCTGCACATGTTCATCCTCTTTGATATTGAATTGACTTTGATTCCGAGGCTGGCAGTGGATTGGAAACCAAATTGACAATCAGCAGAGGGCGAAATAGGGTCCTACACTTTATGACCTTCATAAAATGCTCTTGTTTCTGCCCCCAGCTGCAGCTGTTACAGCACAGTTATGTAACATCAAAGAAGCAGGTTATCACTGACTTAAAGCCTTAGGCCTATGTCATATCCAGCATTAACACTAGAACATTATATTTCAGTGTTTTTGTATCTTCATTGTGCAAAATATTTGAAAATGAAATGTTAATAGGCCAACTGTATATCATTAGAATTGCAACGGTTGCAACGTTTTTTTATTTTATGATTTGCTATTGCAATTAAAATTCAAAGAGATTTCAGAGCCAATGAGGTCAGAGAAGTTGTGCGTCCCAAACACTTTCAAGGATTGTGGTACATCAAAAAGTAAGTTTGTCGTTTAAGACCAGTGTCCTTGCTAATGAGTGGCTCTGTTCTGGCATCAAATGTGACAGGATCAGTTAAGGGACAGTGTGAAATGGGGGCTGTAAATATTTTTTATCATTCATACAGCCTCCTTATATTTCTTTTGACATTATTCTCAATAATAAATTGCATAAAATTAAATGATTTTACAGCCCAAGAAAAGAGAGGGCCATGAGTGAGAAAGGTCAAAAAGTTGAATAATTGTTTTTCAAGAATGATTTGATTGTTCCGGTCCAGTATGTTGGAAAATTCACAATCGTCTTAACCTTTCTAGTGCTCTGTGTTTTACGGTAGGGGAAATATGTAGTGGTTTGCTTATTTATTTTTTCCAATAAAACCATATTCCCTAATTGTTACACTGTATATGTGCTATTCATAAATCAATAGATTATTACATCATATTACATTAGTCGTGCTTCAGATTTGCCTGTGTCTCAGGGGTTTACAGCTACATGTTGAGTAGAAATCAATGTAATTTCTAAACTGCAGTACAGTAAGTGCTCTTTATTTTTTATTCCAGGTTGCATGGCAGATACCATGAGTTGGCTCCACATCTTGTACCAATGGACTACACCAATGATCCTGATTGCAAACTGCCTTTAGCCTTGATAGTCAACATGCCAGAGTTAAAGGTAAAAACAATCCTTCTTCAGAGCACCTCAATATAGTATTAGTCCCGTGTCATAACAATATCCAAATAATCAGACACTTTTTACCTATTCTTTGTTTTTCACCAGCAGTATTGTGTTTCCTTTTTTTGGATTGCACACAAACATGGCACCCACTTCTCATGTGGGCCGACACCTAATCAATACACACTCTCGTCCAGAGGACAGAATTGATTTTTAACCATCATCATCACAGATCTGATTGTATGACACAGCTTATGAAAGTTAATGTGCCATGAAATGCTCTGCCTCTCTATCCTGACAGATGCATTCCCTCCTGTTTTTAAGCACCTGCCGTTTGAAAAGAACAACCAGAAATTTCTGAAATGGCATGTTGCGTAACATCACGTCACATCCTTATTTACCAAGAGGCTCATAATGTGTCATTCCTCTGGGTATAATTGGCCCTTGCCTGTAAAACTGTCGTGTGATTGCAGAGCTGTAAGGATGGCAGGAGGAAGATGGAGGCAGTCAAGGCAGGATTGATGAGGCCTGGGCAATACACAGTCATCTAAAGTCCTCTACAGCTTCATAACCATAAATACATTCCTATCTTGCTGGGGATTCAGTTTTAATGAGCTGTGTTGAGTTGACTGGACTGATTCAGGCTCCACTGACGTGATATCCAGTTAAAAATGGCATTGGTTTAGATGGCTGTTTATATAAATGGCTGCAGCTCAGCTTGTATTCAGCTCAAACATGCTAACTGCGCTCAGGACCACAGTTTTACTTACGTCGCTTACAGGTATAGAATAAGTGAGATTCTAAGTCACTTTTGATGGCCTCCACTTCAGTGTTAATTTATTACAACTTGCATCAAATCAGCTAATTACCTGGGATATAAAACTCCTAGTGGCAACTTATGGTTGAGCAACAGAGGAGAAAATATTGGCTTAGCCATACCAGCAAAAAGAAAGAGTCAGCCTTTTTAAGATGAACCCTGTGATCAGCAGAATAAACCTAACAGTTTAAACCACTGCCACGCATGTACTGTATGTGAAACTCAGCAGCAGCATATAAAACCCCATGGTTATGAAACTTCTGATTTGGTTTCTTTTCTTATCCAAACTACAAGCTCTATATTGAAAGGGGTTCCTCATTGCAGTAAATCTTACATTTACATTAATATGCACTGATGTATTTAAATGTTGTGATCCCCTTCAACCGTAGGAAAACCCATTTCGCAACAGGATCGTAGAGTCTTTCTCAGAGGATGGGATGGGGAATCTCAGCTTCAATGAATTTGTGGACATGTTCTCAGTCCTCAGTGAAACGGCTCCTAGAGAACTCAAGGCCATATATGCCTTCAAAATATATGGTAATGCTGAATTTCTAAAAGATACATTTAAATTTTTCAGAGTGCCCAGATTAGCAGTTATTTGCTGTAACTCCTGTTACCCACAGATTTCAATGTGGATAATTACCTGTGCAAAGAGGACCTGGAAAAGACTCTGAATAGGCTGACGAAAGAGGAGCTGACTCCTGAGGAGGTGGATCTGGTGTGTGAGAAGACCATCGAGGAGGCGGATTTGGATGGAGACAACAAACTCTCCTTTGCTGATTTTGAAAATATGATATCTAGGGCTCCTGACTTTTTAAGGTAATTAAATGTATTTTAAATACAATTTTAAGACTGTGTATACATAAAAGCATGTGTAAATATATTGTTTACACCTCATTCTATGCAGTGGCATTTTAAAATCACCTCATTACCCTTCACGCTGTCCCTGCCTACTTACAGGTTTCATTCCCCAGATAGCTGATTATCATTTCCATCATTTAACTGTCACCCTAGCAACATCACTTTAACCCCGGGCCACCCATTCAATTATATGTAAATGGCCTCACTGCTGTTCCTGATTCCTGTTCCTGAAGTCGGTAAATTTACAATGCTGGTCCCTCATATTCTTCTGTTACTCCAGTACCTTCCATATACGAATCTGAGAGGGCTCCGTGGAAGGTTTCCAAGGTGGACGGCGTGATGAACCTCAGGACTCCGCCTGAACCACGTCCTGGCCACAGCACAGTGCCTGTCTTCCACTCCCATCGTCAGAAAAAAACCACACATCAGTGCTCTGCGGCCTCAGCGAAGTCTGCTTAGTTAGAAAGCAGAATACTGGGTAAACCTGAATTCCCAGTACCCTGAATTTCCATACTGTGGATGAAAATGTTTTTTCCTCAAAGGGCTTGACCTGGATTGGTCTCTTGTTGGGAGAAAAGGTCATTCTTCCACATTTTATGTTTGAAAAATGGGAAATGAAACGAGTCTAAAATGAGCCAGACTCTGGGCTGCCTCTTATTGAGCACATTCAAGAATGCATAAAATGCTTATCTACCTACAGTGTATTGCACGTCTTCCTACAATGACACACTAGATACTGTATAAGCTTAAGGACAAAGCTTGAAGTGAATGAAAGCACAGCATTAGTGTTAAGGGCATACAGGTATTCTGTGTAAGCTATGCAATATTTGTACATGCAGTGTATTGCTTTTTAGTCATTTTAGGTTGTGTTTTTCGCTTGTGAAACTTGAACATGATGACAATCATATCGTACTGTTTTCCGGTTAAATGAAGGGCTCTGTCATCTGAATTCATTTTGGTAGCTTTCATCTGCCTCAGCCATTATCATGAGATGTTAGTTACAGCCATCTTTTGGATATATATTTTACTGTATTTAATGTGACTTTAGGTATTTGTCTTAAATAAATGTTTGTTTTTGTTTCTGTGTGTTTTGAGTGAATTGCTTTGTGTGAATGCATTTGTGTGGTTCATTGTAGTCACTGAAAAAGCACGAAAGAATCGTGAGCTCCCACCTTACCTTCAGCTTTAATGCGCTCAGCAATATCCCGTCCTTATAACCAGTTCACCTCAACCCACCCAGCCATGATGATCAAGGAGTGTGCACAGTAAAGATCAGGAAATGAATGACCGTGCCTCTGTAGAGCCCATCATATGAGCTGTAATAACTTGTTAAGCAGGATGTGATCATTAGGAGTGAGCTGCCTCAGCACGAGCATGATTAGATCCTGCACACACAGTTAATCTCAATGGAAAGCTGGAGGAAATGGCCTCGGTCACGCTGGTTGATGATTGATGGGTTCTGGTTTCCAGGCTCTGGTGCAAATTTGCATCAGGAACATATGGAGTACAGTGTACTTTGTTGATTTTGTGCGGTCAATATTTTCAGCGCAGGTTGCACCAATGAGTGTGCGCAATAGAGCTACATTGGTGAATGGCATGAGTGTTCTTATAGAAAGTCCCCAATGTGGTAAATGAAGAGAAGTTGATATCGAGTGTCGCCTGAAAGGGAGGAGGATGGTGAAAGTCAGTTAAACATTGTGCGGTCTGCAGGGCAGCCAGTTAATTCATTCCATTATCTCCAGTTGCCCTTTATGAGGACAGTATCAAATATTCAGGGCAATACAGCTCTGGTTGTGTGGCTTCATTAATTACCGGTCTCGCTGAGAACATCTGTTAATTATGATTCCAGCAGAGAGGCTTCTGGCACACTGTGATACTGGGGCTGTAAAAGCAGCCATCACTGTAAGCAACTGTTTCTGAGGCTGAGAGGAAACAAACTGTGTGTGAAACTCACGCTGATCTCTCTTCACGGGACCTCGTCTGTTTTCATTTGAGCTGATTTAAGATGGTGCCTCTAGCTTTCACAGTATGACAACAGTGGAGGATGTACAACGAGCTTGATGGCAGATAGAGATTCTCTATCACATTTTCTCTAGATATACCTTTTCTTATGGTATTCCTCTTTAATTTAGCATGTGTAGGCATTATATAAACAATTAATAAATGTCTTAATACACTATGACACACTAGTTGTAAGCCTAAACCGAGATAAAACCCCTTTGCTTTTTCAAGACGTATTTATTCATTTGTAAATACCTTTTCCACGATGAGTGAGCAAACGCCACCCACTGATGAAGGCCATGACATAACTCAAAGTCCTATTAGAAATCCAGCAAGTGACCTTTGAGTTAAAATGTGATACTATTTCCAGGATGAAGAAGAGCAGTCAAGGTGCAACATGTCTTCATGAGTTCTGAACACATTTATAAACAGTTTAAAACCAGAGGCAGTTGGTAACTTTTTATAACATGTTGTAAAATTTCTTTTTACTGTGTTATCGGTTCATCATTAACTTAATTATGAATAATTCATAGTTGTTGACAAATACATTGATACAAATGTCCCTATATCTGTATAAAACTCATTGCACCATCATCATTGTATGTTATAAACAATCCATTAAGTGTTGTTGTATATTGCTTATAAATTGCTCATATTGGTCATAAATGCTAAATTTAAATAACATTTAATGGTTAATGGTTAATTCTCACTTCCACATACAATATAATAAAATCAAAATATGATTTTTACATTTTGTTTACCAGCGTTTCTCTTATTTTGCACACGTGTAAGAACCCACTGATAAACAATCAGGCAGTTATGACATTGTGTTTATCTCTTATAAGAAGTAACCAATAACACTATCATCTGGATCTCAGTTGTGAAAGAAAGTGTCAAAAATGTCTATATACATATATATATATATATATAATATATATATACTGTATATATATTATATTTATTTCCTTATTTCTGTCACTCATGTTGTACATAAAACAGTGCTGTAGCTGTACTTGTATTTAAATGCTTATAAAAATAACTATGTAAGCCACCATAAGAAGCATTCAAGTACACAGACAGGCCATTGAAGTATGAGCTTCACAGTAGTTTTAGTGAGCCCACTAAAACTATAATTGGAAGGTAAAAGAGCAGCAAATGATAGAAGATAAGTGACATTTCAACATCTTTGACTCACTTCCCCATTGCTGTTGTACACAGACATTTGAAATCTGTATGCAAATAAAGTTTCCTGTCAGTGAAGTGTAGCGCTGATGCAAGCAACCATAGTAAAAACATTTTTATAGATCAGGATGTATTTCGCTGTAGCAATATGGCCCGATCATGCATTACTAGGATGTTTTTTTTTAAAGGAAGTGTCAAAAACATGTGATGCAAGGCAAGTGTTGTTGAAACATAAAAACTTGTGCAGCCACTACAGAACAGCTCCACATTTTTTATCCCCATTTATCTTTTATCAAGAAGAAACGTATTTTTGCGGCAATGTAATCTATTGCCTTGTCAACTGCAATATGTCTAATTTTACACAAAAACTGTGTGAAAATCAATAGGTGTTTGTACCAGCACTGGTCGATAAAAAAAAAAAAACATCTCTTTTATGACGTAGCATCTACAGTATTTTACTATAGCAAAGTATACGTTCTCACAGCACGTTGAATACACTCAGGTTTGTCTCTGCTGACGAGTATAGTTTCCCTCAACATAAACTGCCATGCACTGCACTTCACATACTGCATATGACCAGCATATATTTTCCTCTTTACAGTCACTAAGTTTCATTGCAGCATCTGAAACTTACCCACATTTGGGGCTTTGCTGAACTCATCACCCTTTTTCTTTCAAGTTGGACTGAAATAATCATTCCTACATCCCATTGCACGCAACCCCGTGTCAGCAGCTAGAATACTAATGAGATGAGGTTCATTAGCAGGCGATGATCAAACTGTAGATGCTATCTGCCTGAACGCCTCTTTACATCTGACCGGCAGCCTCTGCCATCTTCATATAACCACGCAGTTTCTGTTGAACATGAACACACAGGCTGCATATTTTTAGTCTCTCTCTCTCAAAAAAAAAAGAAAAAGTTAGTTTAGAGTCTCTCATTTATGGATTTGTGTTTAATGACATAAATTATTTTGTGAAATTTAAGTATACAGTTTGTGTTTTATTTAGCAAATTGGCTTACACGTGGAAAATAAAAATTTAAATATATCATCATTTTTAAATAAATACATTAAAAAGCAAAAAATACAGAAGACGACATTTGAATATGACCATGTTAGTCTATGTTGAGTATTTCACAGAGGTCGTCACAGAGTGTATATTAGTAGTACACAGTAGTGTCAGATTAAAACTAGTAAACATTTCCTTCAGTAGCTGGTACTTTAACGTCTTCACCATTTCCTCTTGACCTCAGGGAAGAGCCATTTCCATTTGTCATTCTGCAGGAGGTAAATAAATTAATTGTTAAATAAATATGATGAGAATTAAGTACAGCTTTTTGGAGGATGAGGGGATTTTGAATACATTACTAACCTTTAATGACTTGGGTCTGACATCCTCCAGAGGCTCATAAGTGTTGCTGTTGGGTTTCGGATGAGCTGCGTCCTCGTGCCCAGGAATCAGCTCATATGTATTGTCTTGAGAGAAGCGGCTAAAGAGGGCTTCATTGGGGACCTTGGCGTACACTGAATTAATACTCTCCTCTGAAGCCAGTGAGCCAGTCTCAGACGATGCAGTGTGTGGGCTGCCGGGCCTACCAGCCAGGTGATAGACACCACTGTGACTCATGTTGTCTAGACTGGCCGGTGCATTGTACGAATCTGTCTTCTCAGACCGGGGGACACAGTTTGTGGCTTGTCTGATGGGCTTGGGGGAAAGTCTTGGTGGTGTGTGTGGGGGGAGTACACTCAGCCTGTAATAGTACTCTCCATCAGAGCTGTTGTCTGGCGCCGGTAGAGACCTTCTGTTGTTGCTGTCCATCAGGCTGAGCTCAGAGTAAACAGAGTCTGGTCCTGATGGAGGACTACACCAAATGATGTTCTGATCCTGCGTAGTGGACCTCTCAGCCCTCCCTGGATTATCTCCAGGTAAATGGGACGGGAGGATGTGTTGGGATCTTGGGATCTCCCTGGGTGATTGCTTCCTCAGCTGAGCATACAAAACCCTGTCCTGGTCATGCAGGGGGCCACTGTCAAAGTGCCTGCTCCTGTGAGGCAAAGGTGGCACTTCCTGTTTGACAAAAAGAGCCATACTGTTAAAGCATGCTTGGAAACTAATTCAAAAAATCAGAATCAGTTTAAAACATTACTTAGATCAACTGTCTGAAATGTATGAACTGTACTCACCTCTAGTGTCCTGTTGCTCTTTGGTGGTCGTGTCCGCGGCTGCTCTGAGCCCAAGTTCGTCTGTTGTTTTCGCACGTTCTTAGCAGCTCTGACAGTGGGCACGGGTTTTTCTTTAGGGCTGATCTGGATGGTATCATACAGCTCTTCGTTCATTATCTGCATGAATCGCAAAAGCAGAATACAAGTCAGACCTCCATTTCTTGATCACTCGATTACTTATACAGAAAGTGACTTAAAAAGGAGTTTTCGTCTCACCTCAAAACACGAAGATGTCAGGTACTCCCCAAACGGCTCAATGGGACTTGTCTTGTAGTATTCTATCAGATCGGGTATTGTGTCATGTCCCTCACTGTCTC